AATAATAATAATAATAATAATAATCATGCTGTAACGACGGCTGCGTAAATTATAAGAAGGAACTTTCTTTCCTACGTTTGTCCAGTAACCTTTCCACTTTCTGCTTTGCTTTCCAATCTTTCGTATTTCAATCTTCCCGTATCGCTAAAAGTGAGCTTTTACATTTTAAAAATATCCATGACAGAACTAAATGGAAGATGATTTCTTTTAAGCGCCGTAGTGATAAATAAGAAAGATAGTGAAATATGAAAGATAATCGCCGTTTGCAATTTTTGTATCGAGCTCTTTCATCATGTTCGGTCGACAGGTGACAAAAATTGTGAATCTAATCTGAAGTTGTTATTACATGTTACACTACTAATGACTACATTACACTATATACGTAGATAAAGAAACCAATCAAGATGGGAGCCGGTTTCCAAGAAGCACTTTTTATTCACGTATCTCACATTGAAACCTGTTTATCCGATATTCACGATGAATGCTGTTTCTTTGTTTCAAAGGCCGCGAGAGAGAGAGAGAGAGAGAGAGAGAGAGAGAGAGAGAGAGATCTCTTATCAAAACTTACTATCAAGAAAATATTATCATACGTCGTCTAAAATGCTAAATTAATCGAATCGAAATGAGATCGTAGCTCATTTTTCGCACCAATTGGCAATCCACTGACGATTATTCGAGTGCCACTTTCAAATCATTGATCAAAGGATATTTCAGTAGGTGTATATCTTCGTATTACGACGAACTCTTGCTACACGTCGTTTATTGCCAGACCATTTATAACTTATATGCTAGAAAGGAAATCTCAATCTGACAATAATTTGAAAATTGCCTCAAACTGACGTATGAAAAAGACTCGGGAGGAGAAATATAATGCTTCACGATGTAAACGCGATTAGTACAGAATTAGTAATTACTTGTACTCCTTCAATATCGACTCACGGTCGTTCCACGATAATTGCACAGGTGGCCGGCAACGAGTCGCATGCAGTGGTAAATGTGGCGGTTTATTACGAATCGCTATGCTCAGACAGCATGCGGTGGATTAAGCAGCAACTATTGCCAGAGTACGATGCATTGAAAGATTACATCAGCGTCACTTTCATTCCCTATGGGAAAGCATCGGTGAGTCGTAGTTTGCGTTACAACTTCCTATCGCTCACTACATTTTCTTTCCTTTTCTTTTCTTTTCTTTTCACAACTGTTTGTCTTTAACGCGCTGCGCTACGCTATCGGCGACATTATCTTGGACACTCGAATTAATGAACGCATTCTCTTTCTTTAATTTGTTAATTCTGCAATAATCGGCATCGATGAGAAATGGAAATACTAATTTACAAAACAGTCAGACGATTGTCTAATTTATACGTCTCAAGCGTATTACGAGATTTCATTTACCATGTGTATAAACCTGACAACTTCTGACGATTAGTGAAAGAAATTTCGAAAACATTAAAAAAGGATATCCTCTAATTTTGAGCTTTTGATCTCTATCAAACAAAGTGTCCCTGTATTATTTTCTTTTCTTTCTTTTTTTTTACAAATTAACTCATAACGTCATCTGTTTTATTACTCACGCACAAATAAATAGCACTGGAAAGATCCAGACAGCCAGAAATGGCGGTTCACGTGCCAGCACGGAGAAGAGGAGTGCAACGGAAACAAAGCTCAGGCGTGTGCTATTAACGCGATTCAGAATGGAGAAGCAGCTGATAAGGTTCAACAACTTAGCGTGGCATTGGTTGGTTGCGCAATGACCTCACGGTTTCCGCCATCATCTGTCCCGCAGGTAATTCAACTTTTCTACCTGGCAAACCAACTAACGTGACATCCATAGCAATTACTTATCACGAAATCACTCATGCACGTCATTCCATCTCGAGATTTAAAATTTAAACGTGCGCGCCGCCTCGCAATTACGAAATCAACTGTAAAAACAAACAAAAGTGTCCGGCGTTCGCGAGAATTCCAAGAATCGCAGCAAGCCTAAAACGAAATTTATGAATTGATCCTTCAGTGCGCCAAGAAAGTAGAATTAAGCGAGCAGACCCAAGCGAACATCAACGAATGCATTAATGGTCCCCTGTCGAACGAGCTGTTGGTCGCACATGGCGAGAAAACGAAGAAGTTAAATCCAAGCCTCTCCTTCGTTCCAACTATCACGATCAATGAAGTGAGTACTCGGCGAACATTGCAAACACGTTTTCGTCTAAAAGAGTTTCAATTAAAACAATGAATCATGGTTTAATCGTCGTTCGTTCAATCCTCGATTCTCTCCATCTGTTGCAGGAGAACACAAAGGAGATACAGATCAAGGCGCAGAACAATTTCTTTAAACTAATTTGCGACACACTGGGGGAGGGGGCGAAACCGTCTCAGTGCAGCACAGCCTGAAGACAAACGGTTTTTGTTTTAAACCTTTCGTCGCTAGTGCTTTTTATACAAAGCTTACACTAGGGGCTACTATAGTAAGTTGACGAAATCAATATTGGAAAGAAGGAGGAGAGACCGAAGATTCTTCAGCTTCGTCGAGTTACCTAATTTCAAGGTAAACTTGATACCACTTTGCAATGTACAAGTTTCCATCAGCAAAGCTCATTCAACATCAATTCTCCGAACCTGATGCAAAATGAGTTAATTCAAGCGAACGAGGCTTCAATTGCAAACTTGTAAACTTTCGACAAAACTTACTCTTTCATAAACATTTTGTGTGTACCACTGTAGTGAGTTGTCTTAAGGATTTGGGGAAAAGATTATTGATTTGAGTGTACCTATGTAAGAAAAGAAATAAAACTTATCGTCGATACAATAACGATACAATAACAAATTCTGTCAAAATCTCTCATATATAAAGGAGAAGATATAAAGCGTAACCCTAATGATCGAAACCATGTATTTGATAATGATAATATATACAAATCGGCTATGTACAAAAATATACCTATCAATTAAATCTACCTAACTGAGCGAAAGCGTATAAAAATCGAGTACAAAATATATATTGGAAACAAGTCTTTGGAAATATGTGGCGTTCGCCACGGAGTTTCTCCTCCAATCCACCTCCCTTAAACGTTCTTCTCAACCGTCGATAAAAACCGCGTCATCGAGGCTGCTTAACTCGAGAAATTGTTGCTCGATATCCGAACTGAGATCTTGGAAGTCGGGGACCTCGTGCTCAACCTGGTACCCTGTAAGAGTAGAGAACAGAATAAATTACTCATATGGTCAGGGACATTCCAGTTTCGTGTCTTGATCGCACAGCACAGATATTGGCAAAAAGATCGAGAGACATTTATCTTGTTTACGGACGAATAAAGTGTGAAATTTGTATCAAAGAGATTAAGATAAAGAATGAGATCGGATGAAGAATAGGAGAAAGTTTCGAAGAAATCAAGAACAAAAAACTTTACTCGAATCTCTAAAAGCTACAAGGAAGGCTAATAATATTCAGTATTATTTTTAGAAATTATCGAAATGTCTGTTCTAGTTTATTTCGAAATAAATGAAGCTCCTGCACCACAGGGGTCGAACTCGCGGCTCTATCGTTAATAAAACGGTTTTAGAAATGGGCGGAGTGGGGAGGATGGGGGGGATCGATGATGCGGACGTATTATTTGGTAGAAAATCGCGGGCTCGAGGGCTGGAATTTAAAAAGGCACGCGTGTGTCGCACGTGGCAGCCGCGTCGTCTGTTTTGGCGCGTGCGTTACGTGCGTGCGCTGCCGGCCAAAAAAGTCGGGAATATTATTTTAAGACTCGGTGTGGGGTAAACGCGTAAAGCGTGTTTGAACCTCCTCTGAGATTAAGCATGGTGGAAGCGAAGCGCGCACTGTCATCAGCCGTCGTTACCATTTATCGGGATAGAAAAAGGCAGCACGCGCGGACCAGTACAATAAAGATTCGTACGGGTTGCACGGACAACGAGGCTCGGCTTTTTGTTCGAAAGTTGGTAGCACTCGTCGTGTCGTTTTTACTCCACGTTCCCGGAATTTTTCTCGCTGCTTCGTGTCCATTTACTTCTAATAGCATGACAAAAATTCCTTGATAAGAACGTTCTTCGGCTGTTCTTTCGTTTCTTCTTCGAACTGAAGGAATTTGTTAGAAAAACGGGAAAATATAATTCTAACTGGATTCAGAATAAACATTTTTCGATCCGCCAATGAGTCAAAGCTGGCTTTGATCATTTTAGTGTTGATCACGGAATTTTCCTTTTTTCCCCTTACCTGTGCCGGCGACATCGTCGATGAGAAAGCGTTTCACAGACTCAAACGGGACGAACTCTTGATTGCTGTCAAGGTTCATGGAAATCCTATCGACCTGACACAGATTCGTTTGGAACAGATCCGCGTCCTCGTCCGCGTAAGACTCCTTAGAAGTCTTATACGTTCGATAATTTGATTCCGCCGTGTAGACGATTGCCGTTTGCGCTTGTTGTTGCTGTTGCTGCTGCTGCTTCAGACTCGTGGAAATCGGATCGTGCCGCGAGTTGCTCGAATTGTTCGCCATGCTGCCTGGGCCTTTGCTATCCGATGTCAATGACAAGTTGGACAGCGGTGTCGTTGGCTCCGAATGATTTTTCACGTGTTTCCTCAGGCTGGACGGGTCTGTGTACCTTTTCCCGCATCCGCTCACTTGACACGCGTACGGTTTCTGAAAAATCAAGCGAACACTCTGTTGAAAGTTAATGAAATTAATAACAGGCCTAAAATAATCTAATTTTAGAGTTACATCTCGCAGATTCTGACCCGATAAGTAATCCGAGTGATTTCAACACGTTGTGCGTATGTTCACTGACCTCTCACGCTCACGAAATTTCAACATTAGCGATAAGCATTTTTCTTTCTACGGTCAAGTGATATTCCGTAATACATTTTACATGACGTTAATTATAAAAAATATTCACACATCCGAATTCCAACATTAACCTTTGATCATAAGTCCCGAATGATACATTAACACTAAACGTACCATTTTATATATACCTATCTTGCCATAAGGGGTCAAT